AGCTAATTCATTGTGGAGTTCTAGTTTATTTTTGCAAGTATCATGGGTGTGAATTCTGTTTACTTTAGATGCATTCAAGTGATTTGAATCTGAGAATGTATTCCCTATTGCTGGTTTTCTGTTAGGTATGGGGAAGGGAACATCATTCTAGAATTTCACTTCAAAGTTAGGTGGTAAAATTGCTGGACATTGAAAGAACAAAGAAACAAACTTGAATTATAGCTTCATCCTTGTTTATTCAGCTTTGCTTTCTAAATATTGTTATTTATTGATTTAATAAATCTGCAGTCAATATCAGTAGCCATGCCCTTCAAAGATCTGTTTATAGGAAAATAAAAAAGGAAAAAAATTATTTGGTCAGTGTAGTTTCTATTATTTTATTGTCTCTGTACAGAAGAGAATGGAAACACGTGGGTAAAGAAAAGAGGAATAGAGTTTATCTTAGCTTTTCGTGTAGTGTTTCCCTTTGTAGAGAAGGCTGAGCCCTAGTGGCTTAACTCTAGTTTGGATGGGTGTATAGCTGATTTCTCTAAAGCAGTCGCTGAAGATACACTGTATTCAGTGAAGTAGTATTTAAGAGGTTGCCAAAGTAGATGCCTTCTAGTGCAGGAGGTAGAGACCTCTACCAACTACTTAAATGTGAACGTATGTCTTAGCAAATGTGTCTTAACAGTTCTTGCTGGATAATTGGGCACTTTGTTTTTGCTTGTTGTCCCTGTCCAGGGTTGCTAGTCAGGGACTAGAGGATTTCAGAGACTACAGTAATGGTAGATTGCATGAAAAAAAGCTGGTATTGACTTTAAACTTCTTCCAAAGAGGGAGAAGTTTTTCACCTTTTCTCCCTGGGCCTTTAGAGAGCTGTATGAACCACCCAAAGAAAAAAAATAGTGTGTAATTCCAGTAAGCAGTGGCACAGCTTTCAATCCTCTCATCACCTGAAAAGACTTGTTCCCAAATCTGGCAAAGGCTACACAGTGGGGTTTTTAAAATTTTCTTTTTTTTTTTTTTTTTGTCAAGCATATCTCATATGATCAATATTTTCTCTTAGGTAAATGGTGAAGTTTTTGAATAGAAGGAGCTGAGCATTTAGTTGAATCCTTGTGCTCTGATATAGTATAGATGTGGTTTTCTGTTCCTCCCTCTCTGCCATGTTACTCTTCATTTTTCCCTGGTTCAATTTTGTCAGTGTAAGTTATGAGGAAGATGCATCAATGATCCCAATCTTCAAAACCTGGCAGTTGAACAAAATAATAATACATGGAGGATGTTTTAATTTCCATTCTGATTTCTGAGACTTGCCATTTGTAGTTTCTGTTGGTCTTTCTGGGACTACCAGAAGCAGAATATTACTTGTAGATTGATGACTTACTGTGGGAGTGGTATTAATTCTAACTGAGAGTGACAGAGTAATGACAACTGGGAGTGTTCTAGAAGAATAACAAGCATAAATAAGGTAAAGTGAGCTTAAGATATTACTAGCAACTAATTAGGAACTTAATTGAAGCACAGCAAAAGTAGAGGTAATTTTTACCAAAGAACAGCCAACAATTTTTAGCAAAATTATTACAAAAAAATACAACTCTAGAACAACACTTTAAAAACCTGTATTAAAGATTTAAAGATCTGATTTCTTTTTAATTTGCTATCTGCAGATTTATGTTTATTTTAATTATATGTGCCATATATCATACTTGTGTTTAGCACTTCTTGCTGTTCAGCACACTGGAGACTTGGCTGATGGCTTGTGTTTTTTTGATGGTTTAATATTGGGAAAAACCACCAATATTTATGATAGCATAAATAATATGAAAGGTAACTTTTTTAAATTAACGCGTGTAGGTTTGCCCAGTAATAAAAAGTTTGGTTATACTTTTTTCTCCCAAATTTGCTACCACTTATTGCAGTGTTAACCAAAATCCTTGTAAACTGAGGTGTATTGGATTGCTTTATCATGTTCTTATATTTCCCATGTGGCAAAAATCTCAAAGATCCTAAATATCTGCCTGCAGTCCTTTAAACACTATGTGAAAGGCAATACTAGGAAATGAGTAGTTTTAAAATTTGCAGATTCTTGTGGGATTCACATAGGTTTAATAGACTCATAATGTTGCAATTCCAAGTATTTGTAGCTCTCTTGTTTTAAAATATAAATAAAATCTAAAAGCAAGATGTTGAATAACTTTTCACCCCAAAACTCTTGTAATCACATGGCTCCTGCTGTTTGGATTTTTTTTATATTTTTATTTTTTTTTTAATGGAGTGGGGAAAGACTCAGTATCTTTAAAATAGTAGCAGTCCCCAAATTCCAAGATCAGTGCTAAATCACACAGTTTTAATGCCATTGTGATAAGTGACTTATATTAGAACTCAGATGTGCTTAATTGCTGGATTGCAAAATTAGGAGTAAATCTATGATTGGCCTATTGTGGGTATGAGCTGTCCAGTTCCCTCCAGACAAAATAACCTTTTTTCTTTTTTTTTTTTTTTTTTTTTCCCCTTCATGGAGCCGTGGCTTATGGCTAGATATACAGAAACTTCTTCTGTTCTGTGGAGATTTTATCACTTGCCTAGATCTGTCTGTACTATTTCAGATGACCTCCATTGGGCTAGAAAAATATTTCTGAAGAGTAAGGAAGCAGAGACTTACTGACTTTCTCTATGAAGAATTTTCCTGTAATTGTTTTCACTTTGGGCTAGTGCTCTTAAGTGACAGAGATATTTAATTTCGCTGATGAAAGTGTGGAGAACATTTACAGTTAATTCTATCTGGTGATACCATTAACTAATCAAAAAGCCCATAGTCTATTGATGATATATAATCATCAAATAACCCATAGCATGGCTTGCATTATTACTTTTGAGAAGACAAGGAGAAGATATTAAATTGTTTCATTACTTTTATGTCTGCTTCTAGTTTTAACTGAGTTAGAATTTATTGATTGCCAAGGACAGGCTAAGGGCTAAAAGGAGCAAAACAAAGTGCTGCTTGTTCATTTGAATTTTTATTCCTTAGGCTGTGCGTGGCACCACAGGTTATGAACTGTTGTGAAGTCCGTCCCTTCAGAACTAGAGCTACCACAGGTGTGGGAGGAAAGAGCTATTGATAAATATTAACACAACTAAAAAGTAGCAAACATTTTCATTTGAACTACCTTGAAGCCATTTCAGATAGGGACTCTTTCTGTTACTGAGTGTTAAGTGAAACAAAGATAAAAGCTTCCTTGACTGTCAACTGGTCAGTCAACAGATTAGGCACCGAGTATTAATTACTGAATTTTTAAATATTTTTCTGAGAAAATCTGATGAACCACTGAAAAAATAAGTAACTAAGAAGAATAAGTTTTATTTTATGCCAGGACCAGTGCATGAAGAACTGGGACAAAATAAGAACCATTTGTTGGCTCTTTTATTGAGAATATAGCTATTTTCCAACTTAGAGATGACAAATTTTACAAATGTGAATTCTCAAATGTGCTAGAGCAAGTGACATATTTTGTGTGCTATATTATCTTTCACTTTGAAATATTTGAATATTCCTTGTTCTTTTTAATAAATAGATGACAACGAAATATACAACCCCCCCATTCATTGTCATTTTACTGCTAGGGGTAAAAAGGAATATAAGATATTCTGGAATTCTTAAGTTGTCAAAAGTGAGATAGAGGTTTGTTAGGTGCTCTCTTCTTTTTAAAATAAGAGGTGTATTTTTTTTTTGTCTTAACAGGGGTGGGGTTTTTGGTTTTCTTTCAACATCTCTGTTGAAAATAGTAATAAAGTGACTTTTGGGAAACAGACTTCAGTAGTGATCCATAAGGCGTTCTATTAATCTGTATTCTTGGATCAGGTCTCCTGAGCTGCTGTTCTGAGTGCCAATCAAGTTCTTTGCCCTGGTGTTTGAGGGCTTTTAACCAAGAAATGTTTTCTGGGGAAGAAACATCAAAATGGAACTTTGAGGTCAGGCTTTGATTGCAGGATGAAATGAACTGACACATATGCAACTTTGTTCAGCCTTTCTCCAGTCCTACTTCTTAGACCCTGTGGGGACAGGATGTGAGCTTATACCTGTGATTACCATGTGTCATTATTTCTGATTACAGCCTTGTTATGTAAGAGAAACTTTTGTGTTCTGTTTTGAAGGAAAAAAACCTCAGTTTCAAAATCCTGAGATGTGTTTTTAGTTATTCACCTCTAAGACAGGAAATTCAGAAGGTTACAATAATTAGTATTAATATTTGTATTCAAGAGTAGAAATGGGGGACCTATTTCTAGGTCTACAGTCTAGCAAGTTAGACTGTATCTATCCCTGATTCCTGGTTGATGCCCTTCTGAGGTAAGAGGGCAAGCTGCATGATGTTGAAGACCTGACAATTAATTGTGTTCTTACACTGTAGCAAAATCACAGCTGTATCTATAAAAGCTTTTACAAACTTCTTAAGCATGGTTTGGATTTATACTACAAGATGATTTTAGGAAATGAGGAGTTGTGTTTAAAAACATTACAGTGTTTTTAAGTGATTCTATTTTTCTTAAGGACTTGTAAAAATGTACAGAACTCCATTGTTAAAATCATGGGCTGTTAGTTTTTGAAAACAAACACTAATAATCTTTCATGATACAGAATTTGAATTACTTTTATTCAATTTAGTGATGTATTACAGGCAAGTGTAATCAGATGAAAACTGAGAATTTGATTCAAAATCTGTTCCTTATTCTATTAATGTAAATAAATCTATTTGAATCTTTCAGGTTGTTCCAGAAGATGACATGCTAAAGATAAAAGCAATAAATCATATCCAGTCAACTTGACTTTTTAACTAACCCTTTCTTGTTCTAGGCTGGTTTTCGTATGTGCAATCATATCTGTAGCATGTGCTCATACGTAATGCTCTGCTGATATCCATGATGACATGCTTACACATCTGAAGACTACTAGGGGCTTGAAAGTGTGTGTCCAAGTCTCTAAGTCTGTGAAATACAGAGTTGCTACTGATATTTTTCAGAGTATGCTGAATTTCTACACTGCAAAGGGAGGAAATTTACTGATTTTGATGAAGTTCGTCAGGAAATTGAAGTAGAAACAGATAGAATAACAGGAGTGAATAAAGGCATTTCTTCAATTCCTATTAATTTAAGAATATATTCTCCACATGGTAGGTAAAACCATTTCACTTTATATTTCTTTCATGTAACATATGTAGTTCTGTTTGTCTAGTTGTCTCCTTTTGTATGTGTTCTCACTGCTCAGTCAGAAGTCTTCTGTGATGAAAGAACTTCTGAGACTGAGTTGAACCAAAAATCGATATGTATCTGGAAGAATTCTCAACTTTCTTGTGTTATGAAACCACTCTACGGTGGAGAGCTGTTGCCAGTAGACCTGGGTGGAACACAGACTCTCTGTCCCATTTAACATTCTCATGATTTAAAAATATTCTCACTCTGAATCAAGATGAAACCAATCTTTCTCCCTAGTACATATAGCATTAGATTTTAGCTCACTGGTAAAGACAAATAATAGGAGATCGAAGACTTAGTGGCAAAACTTTTTGCTGCGCTCCAGATAGATTCCCTGATCAGTGATCTAGAAAGTCATTATGTCTCCCTGCCTTATTGGATGCTTATTGTTCACTGTCACTAAAAATATATTTAGACAACAGTGTTCAAACAGTGGTGTTTGAAGCTATTTTCTGTTGTAGACCCCCAGTATAGATCAAACTTAGTTCCTCTGGTTGCCATCTGCCCAATTTAATGAAGGCAATCTAGAGAAAATGTTTTGCATTGAATCTGTCTTGAATACAGGAGAAAAGTGGTATGTTTGGTTGAAGCACTTTATTTTTCTAACCACCTCATCTGATGTCTTCATTGCAAATCAAAGGGCAAAGATTAAAATAAAAGGAGAGGTAATTAAAGAGATGCTGAACCTCCCTTTGATGTACCATGAGCACTCTTGGCTCTAAACATATGCCCCTAAGCCCTTCTCTGCTATGCAGATGTGGCATAGCCAATTGGAGAGGAGCTGAACTGATTGCCCTCAAAGCTTGTTTGTTTGAACATGCTGACACCAGGAGAAAGTGAAAATTTCGTACCTAATGCTCTTTGTTTTATTAGGATCAGTCTTTTAGTTCATCAACTGTTGTCTGTATTAGTCAGACCCCAAATATGCTTCTGGCATTTCCTTTCAAAGAATTACATTTTCCTCATTTGTCTAAAAGATACTGTGTTACCCCAGTACTAGCTGAACAAGCTAGGGTGCCTCTAGTTGGCAGTGACCTGTACTGAGGAAATCATGCAGGGCAAAACAGGTTTTCTTAATGGATAAACTTTTTCATGTTTCATGCTTTTTCTTAAGAAGTTAGAGTAAAAAAAAAAACCCAAAACAACAACATACCCCCAAACCCCTTAACAACAATTTTCCTATGTAAATTAGGCTAGCTATTGGCTTTCTTAAATTGGAGACAGTGTTGAAAACATGGTCAGAGCACTGTATGTGGGGGAAAAAAAAAAAGGGCAAACAAAAAGCCTGTTTTGGGTTGATGTGAAAGATGCAGTGGGAATAGTATGTTGCCTGTGCTCCTGTTACTGGAAAAAGTTCAGAAAGCCATGTTGATTTGTTTAAGAGCCTTCAAGGATATTCAGTATAAGTATAATTCTTCTATCTATTTGTAATGTTTAAAATATTAACTAGTACTAATAAATTCGGAGGTGAAAGACCAACAGGGTAACAAGTGTACTTTTCAGATTGTCAGGCATTTTGTTTGAACCACTGACAATTATATACCTATAAAGGTAATTATGTGGGGGTTTATGTGACTACAATTTGTTGTAGCCATAGATGTGTAGACCTCTTTAGACATGTCTGGTGTGCTGACCAGTTTTATGATCCTGTGTTTTCCATATAGTATTAAGCCTGACTCTTATTGATTTGCCGGGAATCACTAAAGTGCCAGTAGGGGATCAGCCTCCAGATATCGAGCAACAGATCAGAGACATGATAATGCAGTTCATTTCTCGAGAAAACTGTCTAATACTGGCTGTGACTCCAGCTAACACTGATCTGGCCAACTCAGATGCACTGAAGTTAGCTAAGGAAGTGGACCCTCAAGGTAAGTATGATTGAACAAACCATTTTTGTGGTAATAGACCAACTCTTGTGTAAAATATAATTTATAATCTAGATGTGTATGCATATATTCTTATATAGGCTTCAACATCACAATAACTGTTAGCTCAGTATCATTCAGGAAATGATGCTGTAAGTGTATTTTTAAAATTTTCTCACTGTCCCTTATAAGCAAGTGGGGCAGAGCCTATCTAGAAATTTTTGCAGTACCTAGCAAAATAGACTGTGGTGCTGATAGGATTTCTGGATACTGGCATCATAAATTTTATACAGTCAAATCACAGGAATGCTGGGCCTTGTTACAGAGATTTGAGCAACACATTTCAGCACTGGCAGTAATAATCCCTTCTTTTCAGACATACCATAACTTGGAGTTGTAGCTGGTATTGTACAATGCAGGCTTTGAGAATATCACATAACTGTTATAAAATTCTAAGATGTAATTGTTCTTCCTGAATATAGATGATTCTTCACTATCTTTTTCCTCCTGCCTCCACCCCGGTCAGGTCTTAGGACTATTGGTGTGATCACAAAATTGGATCTGATGGATGAAGGAACAGACGCAAGAGAAATTCTAGAAAACAAACTACTCCCTCTTCGTAGAGGTGAGAATGTTCAGTTGCCTATATTCTTTGCAATCCAGATGATGGTTTAGAATAAGGGTGGTGATTGGGAGTCCTGGAGGTGAATCAAAGCTTACGCTGGACTTGATGAGTTCCTAGCTTTTATCATTATCTATTCAGCAAACATAAAATGCAACAGTGCTAAAAACACCCTGCAAGTAAAATATTTTCTTTCTGGACCTGGAAAATACACTTTATATTCCAGAGGAAGCAAGAAATCTCAGCAGAAGTTGTTAGCCAATTTTCTCTTGTGTGCCAGGTTTCTGTCGCTTGTAACAAAAGAATCTTTCACGTATGACAGAAACAAGCATCACAGCTTTGGTAATCTCACTGTAAACCAAGTTTAGACCCCTTCCAGAAATCTTCTATATGATTGTTCTGGCACCGTCTGCCACAGTTGCTCATACTGTTAACAATACCAAGAATTTTGATTCTAGTTACAATGAATTGATGAGACCACCATGGAGCATGTTGGCCCTGCAAATGAGAAGAAATTTCTTCTGTATTTTGCTAATGTTGTGTCATTTGTATATGTAGATCTCTCTGTGTGTGGTGATTTGGTTTGAGGGTTTTTTGGTTTATTTTTGAAGTGGTTTCTTTGTGGTACACCGAAGTTTCAGATATTTCTGTATTTGAATCGGTGATTTAAAAGAAAGTGTATCTGTTATGCATAAACAGGGTGAACAATTTAGACACTGTTAAGGTCATTACAGTACTTGTAAACATGATCTGAAATGCCTAAATTGGAAAGTTTTGTTTGAACTGAGGCAGTGTAGTTCTATTTAATATGAATTCAGTAGTTCAGGCGATAGCTGCACTGACTTACCCATTGGTTTTGTGATGTTTTAGGTTATATTGGTGTTGTAAACAGAAGCCAGAAAGACATTGATGGGAAGAAGGACATAAAGGCAGCTCTTCTAGCAGAAAGGAAGTTCTTTCTTTCCCATCCAGCATATCGGCACATGGCAGATCGTATGGGAACACCATATCTCCAAAAAGTTCTAAACCAGGTAAAATCTGAAGCCTTTGTGGTGAAGGCAGCTTTTATAAAGATAGGACCAATATAAAATCTTTGTTAAAATGAATGTTGGTCATTAAACCTCACTTACTCTTTCCTGCTTTTAACCTTTGTAAAAATTTTACAGTGTAATAAACAAAGCTGTATGTTACATGTAACATACAAAACCCATGAGATGCAGTTTCTGACTTTTACTGACAGTTCTGCACTCCCCTGTTCTCTTGAATACTGAATATAAACATAAAAATTAAGACCTCTCTCTTCCTTGGAAATATACCATCCTATTCCTTAATTATCACATTTCTTGTAGTTTAATAGGATTTTTAGAATTCAAATCTAGAAATTGGAGAGGATGGGGGGGTGGAGGGGTGGAAGGAGGCATTTTTAGAAATCATGTGTCCTTAGGGTTCACTGTATGCCTGTGAACTTAAAAATGTGCACTTTGTTGAATCTTTTAACAGAAACAGTATACTGTATACTAATGACATAAATGACAAAATAATTGGAACACTTTGTTCACACTACCTTTATTTTTGCCCAAAACTTTGGTTTGTTTCTATGAGTCCATGCAAAACCCTGTGAGATCACAGCTTCCTTCAGCAGGAAATAAAGGTCTATTTCCCAGTTACCTGGAGGAGAAACCCATACCTTACTGTCCTAATGAAGACACTGCCTACAGCAGACTTGGAGGATTATGTAATTCTCTTCACCATTTTGTGTCTGTGGGTATTACTCTTTTCAAAGTGCTATCCCTTAGCTTGAATAGCATGTGACCCTAATGATGATGCATTTCAGTAAGTTTGAAGAGGACAAAGTGAAGTAATGCCTGCCTCTCTAAAATTACTGGTGATGCTATGTTTTTTATTTTTTTAACTTAGTTTGAGCTGACCAGTGTTCTTGGCATTCCTACAGGTCAAACTTGATAGTGTTTTTACAAGTTCACTGTCAAATTGCAGCCTTTGGTCTGGAATAGATAAAGGCCAGGTCAGCCTGGCTTTGTCCATTTTGGACAGCAGCTGGAAACAGAAAAGGTATTGATTAAGGTAGGAAACGAAGTGGCTGGCCTGCTTAATTTCTTGCTACAGTGACTTTGCATCTGTAACTTCATGGCCAGGCTATGGCATGCTCTAGACTCACTAAAGAATGCTAATGCCACTTATTTGTGCCTTGGAAATGTACTCTTCAGCAGGATGCAAGAACTCGCTTGTATCCTGCAATTTTGTCTGTGTTTAGGATGTTCTGCCTCTCTTTATATCTTGAAAGTTTAATCCATATGTCTTGGTTCTGACACAGAAGCATGAGCTGCATATACCTTTGGACTGTCTTATCTATCCTGACTTGCACTGTTCTAGGTACTATTATTTTTTTTTGTGAGCTGTTTTGTAAATATAGTTATTGGAGTATGAACTGTTAGTCTTCTGCTGCCATTACTGTGAGTAGAATATTATATACGGGAAGATCTATTTAAGTTTTATCCCTAAGATATTAGGGACCTATTAGTGTTTGTGATTTCGGGTAGTATTTCTGTTTCTCTGCATCCACAAGGTGGTGCTCCAGGGAAACTCCAGCTTTTGTTTTTGTGTCTGTTGGGTTTGCTGAACAACTTTTATGTTGAGTTTACATATTTTAGTATATGACATTCTTAACTTATAGCTTGTCTGACTGGGGTTGGAAAGAGGGTTTGCAGCATAGTGCAAGAAGTCTGCTTTGGTTTTAATCAAAGAATGGGTACAATGCATGAGAAATTTATGGCACAGGTAAGACATTGACAGTGCTGTCCAAACAGGTTACAACATATATATGCAGAAGTGATGTAAGTTAAATACCGATCTGGTAAGTCTTTCTATTCAATTTATTTTCCAGTACTTTCAGGTATATTTTCACAAATGAAGACTGATAGTCTTGAGTGCTAGAACCTTTTTCAGCTAAAACCAATTGTTTAAAAAAGGTAATTTTCTACAATCATTAATATGAGGGCAAACTCTCTTTCCTGTAGTCTGCTTTGTACAAGGAAGCTGAAATCACATGGAAGTGACTTTTTCCAATGGTGGCAGAGTGCTAAGTAGGTATTATGTATGTCTACACTTCCCTCCATCTCTGTTCTCAATGGGCTGTGGATGCTCAGAATCTCTTCCTTGTGCCACATTGCCTTGTGGCTGTAAAGTAAAGGAGTTGTCATGCTGAACAAGTATATAGGGAATTGGGAAATACCCTTAGGAAAACCAGCAAAATGGAAGTGGTAACATCAGTGCTCAGTGATGAGAGAGGTCATTTCAAATTACATATGTAATGTGTATAACTTTTTTTGTGTGTAACTAAAGAAGTATGTAGTAACAGGGCTCTTTGAGAGGGTGAAGGAATTTTTTAAGCCCCCTTATATGTATGCAAAAGGAATATTGTATTGTTCTTTAACAGTCTCCATTGCTTCAAAGATCAAAAGGACCTGCATTGGTAAACTAGCACAGATCATGGCTGATACACTTGGCAGTCAAAAGGAAATGATTTGTGTTCTTGCTTTCATCTTTATTAACAGTATAAAAGGACTTTATTTTCTTTTTAGCAACTTACCAATCATATTCGGGATACCCTGCCAGCATTCAGAAGCAAACTCCAGAGCCAGCTGCTTTCTATAGAACATGAAGTAGAAGTATACAAAAACTTCAGACCAGAAGATCCAACCAGAAAAACAAAAGCCCTGTTGCAGTGAGTGTCTAGCCTTTTTGTCTTCTTTTTCACTTTGTATAGGTTTGTCTTTTTTTTTTTTTTATATCTAATGGGTATAAATTTAAAGATTATGATATGGTTAAGGATTAAACTCCAAGGAATTCTGTGTTTGATGTTCCAGAACACTTTATTTACTTTATAACTTCAGCAGAGTTTTCCCCAAATGAATTTTAGTAATCCTAGAAAAGAGAGTATGCATAACAGGAAAAGATACAATGATGGGCAACATAGATGATCAAAGCTAAGAAACTGCTTCTGATTGTTTAGACAGGTTCTTCAGCCTGCCAAAAAGATGACCACAAGCAAGGGGAGGAGATTGTGTTAGAAGTCTGTAAGATGAGGAGTCTGAAATGAGAATAGGCAATGCTTCTTTTTCCAATACAAAAACTTGTCTATCCAAAATAACTTGAAGATGGAAAGATCAAAATTAATCATAGATGGTAGTCCATCATGTGCACCTAAACCACAGAGCTCTTTGCTGCAGGAGCTGATACTAAAAATTTGTGTGCTTTCAGAAAGCAACTAGGCAAAATCTTGGGGATGAGGAAGACATTTAAAGTTAGTAAGTACAAGGACAAATTTCTGTTGTGTGGAGCCCATAAACAACAATTTATTGAGGCCAAGAATGTATTCTGGAGAAATATTACGCTGAGCTTGCTTTGTTCTCCTAGGCACTTATTGTTGGTGGCTGTCATGATATGGGTTTTGTTCTGCTGTAGTACAGCTATTCTTAAGTTCAAGTGATAGTGTATCAAGGTAGGTGAACTTATTCTTGCTGGGCACACTTCTGACAACTAGCAGCAAAATAGGTGATGTGATGTGCCACCTGTGCTTGTGTTAAAACTGACCTGGCAGATGTTGACCCTTTTGGGCTCAAGAAGTCATTGATTGAATACTGTTGTTTGCCAGAAGAATTGCAGTGATTTTTGGAGCTATATTGTTATCATAAATTCCAAACTAGAAAACTTTTTCACTGTTGAGTCACTGTCCAATTTGGGTCTCATCCACAAAATAAGTCTGTTTGACAAGACTTTGATAACACTATTGTAATGTGACGGAACAGAGATGACTTCATCTGACTGTGAATCAAGTGGAAGTGGAATTGGAGCCTTTGTTGTGGGTTTAGCACTGTTTTCAGGGATGTGTAATACTCAGCATTATGTAACTTTTCACCTGAAAGGTGAAATGGCAGCATTTTCTCTCTTTTTCTAATTGTAGCCCTCTGCAATCACTTCTGTGTTCATATGCGATTAAAATTTGCCTCTTAGAAATCATCTAAAGGAAGAAAAAGAGATGTAAAATGGATCTAGCTCTTTTGTATGACTGTTATATTTCTATTCCAACTGATTTCAAAGGTTTTCAGCCATCTCAGTTCTGTGGGATAGGTGCTAATAGCACTGGATTATGAAAATACATAAATTCTGGACATGATTCATTCTCTGATTAAAAGTCTGGAATTCACAAGGAAATATGGTCACCAGAATTAGAGAGGCTTTCGTGAGCCAGCTTATTTACTCCTTGTTTTTATAACAACTGTATCTGAAAGAGTAGACATCCCTCATGACTTTACTTCAAATGTTTTGATTGCAAAACCAGAGGGACATCACCTCTGACTCTTCCATAACAGTATAACGCAGGTTTTTTAATTCACTCTGTATATTTGGTGACTTAACTGCTAGAAACTTACATTGTGTTGTGAGTTGTTAGATGTTCCTGGTATCTCATGCTTTTCTGCTATTGTAACGTGTTCTAAAGGAAAAACAATTCCATTTCGTTTCAGCCTAAGTCATCCTGCTTGATACTTCTCTGCATAATTTTTTCAAATTCCTCTGTTATAAGTAACCTATGGGAGAAATTAACTTACTTTCACTTTTCCTTCTTTTGGGGTGTGGAAAGTAATGTAACTGGAACCCTTTCCTCTGATTCTTGAGAACAACCTCACCCCATAAGATGATCTTTTAAGTTTTCACAGTCTTCTTCAAAAAATGAGTCTGGGATCCTACACTTAGACTCCTCCTATAATTCTGTTAACCTGGCCATACAGGTATCTGAGGTTTATCTGCAGTTGATACAAAATTTTACTTCTTGACAGAATCCGTCACTTCAAATTTTATGACTAGATGTCTGTACGTACTTAATTATTTAATAAAATACAGTTGAGCTATTCCTTAATCTTCCATAAATGGAGGAATTCTCTGCTCCTGTTGCAGAAATCTAAGCACAGTCAAGTAAGCCGGAGCTTGTGGTACTGAGAGCTGCCACACTGACATTTTATTACTACTTCTTGGGCTAGCTTTTTGGCATGGAAAAGTAAGTTCCTTAGCAGTCTCTTCCAAAGTTTCCAGCACTGGATCAGCTTAATGGCTTAATTCACATCATGCTATTGGACTGTATCTTTTTTTTATTTGAAAAATCAAAGGGTCATTGTGGAGAAGTAAGCTCTCCACAAATGGTACCTTCTGCTGTAAAATTGGAGATTTTTAGCTTGTGGTGGTCTGTCCTGTTGAGCTCTGCAGTTTCTGTAACAGCATTTAAATATGGGTGTGTTTTTCTACTCAAATACAGTAAGTATCAGAACTTAAACATTAGTACTTTTATTTGCTTATCCTACTAAAAAGACTGCTATCATTTTTTCTTCTCAAAAAAAAAATTTTTAAAATTTATGTAATAATGGTAACATTTACAATTTTATGATCTTTGATAAAACCTGAATGTAGCCTGGTACCTGCTGTATTTGTAGCTGACTTTAATCTACAGTTTCATAAACAGTATTTAAAAAACCTCAAACCAACATTTATGAAGAAAGAAAATAATATAATGAGCTATGTCCTGTGTGACAGAAGGGGTGTAGGGGAGTGGGTGTGTAGGTGCAGATTTTATGGGTTGGCAACTTGGTTGAATGAATTGTTATAGATACTTTTGTCAATTCCTAAACAAGTTTTAATAGGGCACTAGTAGTCACATAGTACTGAAGTACAAGTTGGTAGTTGACATGCTTAAATGGTTGTTTGTTTCTTTTTTCCTCCCCTCTTTGAAATTTAGGATGGTACAACAGTTTTCAGTGGACTTTGAAAAAAGAATTGAAGGATCAGGTGATCAGGTTGATACGCTAGAACTTTCAGGAGGTGCCAAAATCAATCGTATTTTCCATGAACGTTTTCCTTTTGAACTAGTGAAGGTATTTATCCATCTTGATGATGTGTTTTGTGTTTTGTGTTTTATTTATGTATTCTTATGTTCATATTGATCATAGTAAAGCCAAGATAAAGTTTGACTGCAAGAACATGCTCTTAACTGTGTAAGAAATTGCATGAAGTGATAATTGAGACATTGGGCTTCATTTCTAGTTTCAGATAATGAGACATGCAAAGAAATCTGAACTCTAGTAATTAGAATATAATTATAATCTCAGTTGTTACTGTTTTCCATACTTCTAAATTATTTTATCACAAATGACATCTTCCTTCTGGTTAGATGAGGCAGGGAAACAACTACAAGTTCAAGTAACTTGTACCTATTAAAATTAGACTTATGAAAAATAGCCATTTTCTATGTTTTCTACTTCCTGTTTTCACAGCATTAAATCAAATCCAGCTTTCAGTCCTACATTTTCATAGTACAAGATGGAACAGAATCAAATTTGGTGTTTTGAAATAATGTTTCTCCTCTTGATACATCTCTTCTTGCCCATCCTTTGGGTAACAGAATAAGTGGAGGTTCAGTGGGGTGTGAACTAGTGAAACTTGACTTCCTATGAACTTATAAAATATATTCTTCAATTATTTTTTTTTTTTCTTTCACTGCAGTGGCTTCTGCTTCTCTTCATCATGAACCCTACTGTATCTATAGTCCCTGTTCTTTTATGCTTTTTCTAAGCTTCCTTTCTGCCTGTTTTATGTTCAACTGCCTTGATATCCCCTAACTTTCAGTTGGGTAAGAATCAGACAAGCATGTGGCTGGTATGTGGTAGGTCAACTAGCAGTCGAACAGAATAGATAATAGTTGGGCTTTGGTAATGACCCATTTGTTTGTGATAACACTAACTTCTCTTCCAGCTAGCTGGCTTTCAAGACACTGAAAGAAAAGCTTTACACCTTCACAACTGAGACTGCACTTCTAGTAAATTTGATTGAAAAACACTAGGATGGGAAGAGGAGTATAAACAGAACATAATCACAGAAGTTGCACCGCTTTAGGAAATAAAGCTTAAAAAAAAAAGTTGCATCTTACTAATGTTGTTTCTGGCTTACTCTTTCAACTCATGTCTATTTTGTGATGTTCTGCAAAGTCCTTCCAGTGGTTGGTATATCTGGAACAGAAGGGTGCATAACTTTCAACAGTCCTTACTGCTGCCTGTAGCCTTAGTGTTAAAAAGTTTTAAAATTCTTACGCTTTGTTTAACAAAACTAGAAATTATTATTTCGCCAGTTGAACTTGCCTGTCTTCCAGTTATATTGGGACAGGTAATATTTATTTAAAAACTTCCCCTAATATGGTCTCATATGCTTTTGTTCCTTTAGATGGAATTCAATGAGAAGGAACTGCGGAGAGAAATAAGTTATGCAATCAAGAACATACATGGTATCAGGCAAGTGCTCCTGTGTTTTCAAGCCCAGTGACATTATAGAGGGTGTGATCTCTTTAACCTGTGGACACGCTGGCTATTGAGTGGTAAACTATATTACTAATGCACTGCTCCCAGCAGCTGACTTTTTTCTTCCACTCCTTCACGCTTCTGTTTTTCAGGTAGCTATTTTGGGTCAAACAGCTGGTTTGCCTGAACAGGTTTAATTTACCTGAAAATCCTTGAAAATTATTTTACTAGAAAAAAGAGTCATTGATTTTCTCTGTAGTGACTGCAGTTCCACTGTGCCTGTACTCCTGAAACATCATAAGTTTTAGAGGGATAACTTGTGTCTTGATATGGGGGAAAAAAACTTTTCAGCTTGTGTTGCAGCATACTCCTTGCACAATCTCACTCCCCTTTATTCTCAACTGTTTCTTGAAGTGACTGGTTTACAAGTGAGTTGGCCGAGGTTTCTTTTTGTGGATGTGTCTGCAGTGTATTATTAGGTTTGCGAAGAGGGAGGTATTTGGTTTGGAATGACCTAATTATCTCATTTTTGGAGTGATCTGTCCATTTCAGAGGGATACTTCACCAGATGCATTACCCGTGTAAATGTTCTTTTGACAATAGAAAGACTTGGGTGGTTCTTTTATGGGTTTTTCCTTCCTACCCACTTTTGAAAGTGTTGCTTACAAGCTTTGTTGTTCCTAGTATTTTGGAGAATGTTCTTCATATTACTTAAATAGTAATGTTACCAAGGTGACCTGGTGAGCTCTCAACCCTGAAACCTTGAAGCAATACAGTACTTTGCATCAATAAATAATGAATTGAGAATGTTAGGCAAATCACCTGTAGTGCATTTCTACGGCAAATCACCTGTAGTGCATTTCTGCTTTATTTGAATAATACATCTTGTCAGAGGAAGTAACATGAAATGGATTACCCCAATTTTTCCGAAGGTGTGGGGAAACAGGTATTTCAGGCCAAGATAAAGGGCTGAGGTTGGAGCATGCCATTTATCCCTTACATAAAGTTTGCTGCACTTCTGAAGAGGCTTTACTGCACTATATCAGTAGTCTACACTACTCATAGTCATCTTCTAGTCGGAGGGCATATTTCTACTTTATTCTTACTCACAGTGGCACTTGGTTTTTAAAGGAAAAGGAGCAAATACAGTTCTGTGAAAGGCTGTGTTAGGGATTGTTATTACTCAGCTCTAAGTTTCTGAAAATGAAGATATAAGCAGTTCAGTAAAAAAAATCTTCCTTGCATGATGTTTATATCACTGTCTTACATATTTTTATCTCCACAGAACAGGTTTGTTTACTCCAGATATGGCATTTGAAGCCATTGTTAAAAAACAGATAGTTAAGCTGAAAGGACCTTGCTTAAAAAGTGTGGATCTGGTGATGCAAGAGTTAATCAACACTGTCAAGAAATGCACTAAAAAGGTAACTTGCAAATAGATCTGGTAACATAAGTATAACGATAATACAAAGCTTGTCTTATGTTTTATGGTATTATAAGAGATTTCTGATCTAGTCATTTGATGTACAGAGTAAGGCTATAAAGCAATTAAAATTTCTGCAAAACTCAAAACAGTGCAATGCTAAAAATGTTAATTTTTTTTATTCCTGTGTTTTGAATATATATATATATATATATATATATATATATATATATATACACACACACACATACCCCTCATGACTGGAGTTTTATTGAGAGTTGCTCCCAGTTTCCTCTTTAAAATCACATTTTCATTCGTACCGAAGATTGGAATGTAAGCAGCAATTCTGTGGATGTGAAATGCTCTTTCTATATTGAAACTTTACTGGGTAATATCACAAGTTCTTTGTGATATAAAGGGTCTAAAACTTTATCTGGGCTTTTTTCATACACAAGCCCAAAATGTCTGATCTCCGTCTGTCAAGAAATTAGAAGTAGAAAGCTAGGAAGGTTTTCTCTCACTTGTATTTGAACAGTCTTGCATTAATGTTGATGAATGAGCTTGCTGCACAGAAATGTTGAACATTTAAGTGGAAAGAATTGCTGAGCATTAAACTTCCTGGTGTGAAAGTTGAGTGCTTTGGTTAAACTTTTAACTCAAGATCCTGCAAGTGTAATGAATTAAGAGAGAAGTTAATCAAAGCTAAACACAACATTACTATGAGTATTTGTGAATGGTTTTCCTGAAGAGTGTACTTGTGTTGGTGTATACTGTTAGAATGAAACCTCAAACTTCCAACCCTCCAGCTGTGGCTAAGGAAGCATGTCAGATATATTAATATGAACCTTCTTTTTCCTCATGCTCCTTCCCTTCATAGGAAAGTTGTCATCTACCAGTACTGTGACTCACTTGCTAGAGCACTGACAGCTAATAGTTGCTGATTTTCAATTATCTTTTCTCCCATTACTCTGTGATGTTCTAGAAGATTCCACTGACTCTTGTAGACTTCTTAGCTAACTGGCCTCACCTTCTGTTCATCTGCTTTACCCTTGGTGTAGGGCACCCTAATAGTAGCAAGTACAGGAGTTGTTCTGGCATATGAGCATAGATATGCTGAAATTGTTGAGAAATAGACCATCATGTCCTTTGCATTCTTCCAAATAATGCAATTTTTATTGTACCAATGAGCAGGTAAAGGAACTATTTCTCAATACAGGAAAAGATGACAGTCTTTTGTCAAAGATCATAGAGGAGCAGATTGACTGCAGTATTTTGAGCAGTGTTTCCAGGGTTTTTTTTCTACTTCTGTCAAAGTTTGCACAATATGTCACATGAATTAATTGTGCAGATTCTTTTCTCAGTGCTGTTGGGCAAATTTACTGTTGTGTTTTGCTGTTCACTTTTTAAAGTATTGTTATTGAGGTTTAAGGATGTTGCCACAAGGTGGAGCCTTCAAAGAACAAGAAACTTGAAAATTATTTTAAGTGCCAGTCTGGAATTAGGCACAAGAGAAGAGAGAACATGGAGAAACCTCACCCCAAGGCCGATAAGCTGTGGCTCACAGTTCCAAAGTGTCTTTTCCTCAGTGTTCCATGGAGCAAAGCGCAGAAACAATCCAAGAGCTAGGTCTTTCCAGCTGCTCTGGAAAATTATTATTAATAGCAAGTAAGACTTGCTTTATAGTGTAGTTAACTTTTAGATCAAGCATTTATAATAATTGCTTGCATCCAAAGAGAAAAGCTGGAGGCTCCTCTGTGTTATACTGAAGCCACCCTGTAGGTGTAAACTTTTATCAATTTTCCTTTTCAGTTGGCAACATATCCAAGGCTGTGTGAGGAAACAGAAAGAATTGTTGCCGGCTACATTCGTGAAAGAGAAGAGAAGACCAAGGATCAGGTGAGAATAAATAGGAAATTCAACAGTTTGGGGAGATGTGCAGAGGAGGGAAGTTCTTATATATAAAGTATGGGAAGACCATAAAATATTTTTTTACAAATGTTTTTTCAGCAGGCTGCACACTTTTAGAAGAGGAGATCAATTGCTCATCTACCATTGAGCTCTGAGGAAACTAGAATTGTTACAGAAAATACGGCTTTTTGAGATTAGGGTTGGTGGCTTAAAGTAGCATTGGCTTGTTCCTGTGCAACAGTGTGTTATGCTCTAACAGCTATGTGTGGGAAATCGATTCATGATTACACAAACACACAGAAATACTCAGCCTTTTTTCTACTCTGTTCCCAGGTGTTTTTTAACACATCAATCCCATGTTCTAATTACAGTGAGGCCCATGAGCAATTGTACTGGAACACTTGTGTGACTGACAAGCTACATAGTGGATGTGTGAGCTCTGACAAGTGTGGCTGCTGAAGTTCTGTGTTGCTGAACAGTAGTATCAGCACGCAGACTCCAGCTGAGCAACTTGGCCCTGTCTGTCCTGGGCCATGTTGACAGGAATGCTGAGGTGCATAGTGAAGAACCACTGGAACTTAGCCCCTGAGGGCTACTGCATGCTTTGAAAGGCAGCATCTCAAATCTGAAAACTAATAAAATAATTTCTCCTTTGGATTCTAAAATCAGCAAGAAAAAGATGCTTCCTATGGCTATTCTAAAAGGCAGGGATTGCTATCAAGTTGATAATTTTAGGCTGTGGTTTTTTAAACTCAAATTTAACATCTGATTTAACCAGTGCCCTTCCAGGTTCATGGATTTAAAAAAAAAAAAAAAAAAAAATAAAAATCAGAGAAACTTCTTTAGAACATGCATCACCCAGATAAGCACTCTAAATCCAGGAAACTTCAATGCTTAAATTACATGTGAGAAAATCCACTGGACATGGAAGCAGGAATTATTGTCTGGAGAGTGCAGAGTGTGACAACAAAAATATTCGGGAAAGAAGGGCTAGGCAGAGCTCTTAAGTTGTTCTAGATTCCTGGCTCTCGAGTCTTGTCCCTCTGAGAGCTAAGGAACTGTGCAGCATGTCCTGCTTCTTTTCCTTTAATCTGTGCTGTGAATGTAGCCTTAAAAAATTTTTTTTTAAAATTTCTCAGAACAAAATACAAAATACCAGCTTTCTGTAAATGCCAGGAATTGGTCAAATAGGTTATTGTCACATATTGTTGTTAAATCAAAACATTAATGAGGATAATTTCAGAGGTAAGAGCTAGACCCAAATCCTCACTAACTTTTGCTCTGAGGCACTTAATATATTCTAGAAACTGTAAAGAATTTGGAAGTGATGGTGTAATTGAGAAGCTGTACAAAAATAACTCTGTACACTTTGAGGAGATTAAATGCTACCCTTTGGTAGCAATAGGTTTCTTTCATTTATCATCAGGGAGCATGGAAGTCTGTCAAGGGCAGGGGGAAGTGCAGACCCATGCATGTTCAAGAAGCTGTTCAAGGGTGGGAGTGACCTTTCCCTAATATCTTAGCAAGTTCTTTGCCAAGTTTGATTATCAAGTTTGAAACAAACTGTGTCTCTGGGCTATTGAAGGCCTGGCAAGTGATAAGTACAGAAAACATTCATTCTGTTATTTCATTGACTAGCCTATCTCTGAATTCAGATGTGTGAACCAGAATGGCTGTTCTACTACCTGGACTGTACATTTTCTGTGACAGGGCTAACTTATCTATCACTTCTTTGTGTAGTATCTAAAGAAAATGTAGGTACCCTGATTTTAGGTTTAAGATTTAGGTTCCATGCTAGCTTGAATGGAATGCTACAAATAGACAGAATTTTGCTTGACTTGGAAAACGTAGACCTAGAATCTATGTTATATATTATTAAACACTCTCTGGCCATGTATGATTGATCTTAATGAAGTGAACAAGGGCCAAGATAGTGTAAAAAAAAAAAAAAAATATTTGTCAGGAGAAAAAATAGAGGAAATTGAATTGCTTTTCTGTAGTCTAGCTTATTAAACAAGCATACGAACAGAATTGGTGGGATTTAGAAAATATTGTTGCTTTTGGATTGAACAATTACAAAAGGAATATTCAATAATGCAGAAAACTCAAGTTTTGTTCCTTTCTCCTGGCCTTTTCCTCAATCTCTCTCCCCTACCTTACCCACCGTTTTTTTGCACTCCTGTCTCTACTAATAGGTGCTGCTGCTGATTGATATCCAGGTTTCTTACATCAACACTAACCATGAAGACTTCATTGGCTTTGCAAAGTATGTATACAAAGACTTTGTTATAAAGACACTGTCAGTTGTAGTTTTGTTTTTAAAACTAAGTTCAAAACAAAAGTCCTGAAGTGTGACAGTGAAGATGCAAGTTACAAAGATCTGAAGTTGCAGGAACATCCTCTTTCTCAAGAAACATACTATTGAACTCTGTCCCACTTGTAAGGGATTCTCCACCCGAGTTCACAAGAATGGTTGTTCTGAAGCTTATGTCTTGGTCTGGAATCACATGCATCTCAGGAAGCAGCTTTGGCAAGCTGATGCCCTCACTGTATCCATTTTAGGACCACAGACATGTATAATATTGGTGGTCTTTCCACATTGTTGCTAACGCATATTTTGGGAGCTGTGATTCCATGTGAAACCGTTTTGTTCAGACTAATGGATGTCACTGAATTGTAAGTGTGCCTGCTGTTTGGTTGTAGAGAATAATAGTAGCAGAATGCCCTGAAGGGCCTGGTTTGACGTTCTCCTTGCTTAATTGAAAAGGCTGTGAGAATATTCTCCAGAATGTTCTCCCTCTGCTTCCAGCAATTTGTGCCTCAGGGACTTCATATCAACATTTTGACACTAGTAAAAATGTTAAAGATGTCTTCACTCTTTGAAGAGTAAATGTTCCTTCAGTCATATTCATGCCATATTTGCCATAACAGTGTTTGGAATCACCACAGGTTTCACCCATGTGGGATGCTGGCAACAAAGTTTGGCACCACAGTACGTATTATACTATGACCTATTCTAGTTAACATTGTGAAGGAAGGTCCACATCTTTGGCAGTATGCCCTGAAGGTTTAAAACATGGAGTTTAGTAAGCTGAGAGGGGAGAAGGCAAAGCCAGGGACTATTTATGTGTTTTGTTTGAACAACTTTCTCTAGAATCACTTGCAGGTCCTAGATATCCTTATCAGTTCTATTGACAAATGACAGGATGTTGTAGGAATGGTAGCTGGCCTTCTAGAGGTCAAGATAACAACATGCTATTTACTTTTCTTCATCCTTTTCTGACAGGAAAAAGCCTGCTAAAAACACTCCATATATTCATGGTGTGTGTTGTGACCTTAAAGTCACATAGTCCAGCCTTCTTCTCAGAGGAGGGCCAGTGCTGAGTTCAGACCAGGTTACTTAGGGCTTTGTCCAGTCATATCTGTAAAACTTTCCAAACCAGAGATTCTCCAGCCTCTCTACGCAGCCTATTCCAATGCTTGCCTCTCCTCCTGTGAAAAGACTTTTCCTTGGGTCAAGTTTCCATGTTTTATAGTCTTGAATTCTGGAGTGCCAGGCGTAACTGGAGCTATTTCATTATGTTTCTCCCCTGGAAAAAATCTCCCTTGTGGATGCTGCTGCTGGGGCCTGTAATTCAGTCCATGGCCTTTGCTGCAGTGTTTTTTTCCAAGAAGTTGAAATGCCTGAATTGAATTTCTTGGGAAAGCTGCTTCCTCTTTTGCCAGTTGAGATCTAGAAATCCCCAGCTGCTGTGTGTGGAGTATAAGTAGATAACGTATGGTTTTCTGCTTAAGTTCACTGATAAGTTTAAGCAAAAGTTTCTATAGCTTGCAATTGATGGCAAGTATCTTTGTTGATGTGTTCAACTGGAAGAGAAAACTTAGATATCAAAGAACAGTTTAAAATGTAAAATATATTAGAGCTAAACAGGAGAAAATACACATTTTCTGTTACCATATTATTGTTATAGTAATTGTGTTAGAACTGGAAAATGAAATAATTTTGGGTAGCGTATGGTCTTCTGCAGTATCTAAACATTCAGTTCTGGACTACAGATTCCCCAGATTCCCTAGTGCTTCCTTTCTTTTGCTGAATCTTTAAGCCAGTTGCCTCATGTGACTGCAGTGTTTTATTGTTAGTCCTGTGAACCTTGCTCATAAGCACAAGAGCGCAAGACATTTCAAAATACCCTGCAGTGTTGCACAGCCTAAGGCAGGTACAATGTGATGTGAATTGACTTGAGAAGGATTTAAGAATGCCAATCTTTAGAAAAACTTTGTGTAGTTATGAAGTTATGAAATCTTAGAATATTAATGTTTGTCTAATTTGCCAGAATGAGTGGTAAAATGTTGCGACTGAGTTTGTTTCCAGTTGGTGTAACTCAGACATAGCTACATGTTTCAATTTACATGGAGTAATTTGTCTTTAGAACAGTAAATAGCGGACCAATTGCTGGGCTGTTTCTAAAAGGTGTGGGTTTCTTAGTAGGATGTTAATGGTCTAATTAGCTTTCCTAAGGCAATAAAATAAATTTTTTAAAAATAACCAAAACCCCAAACCCCAAACCAAAAGAATGGCAATGAGGTTTCCTAAAGCCATCTCATGTGTGTTTCTCAAACAACAAATTGGAATTAGTGAAGAGTTAGTGATGTGTTTTCTGTATGTGGGTTATTTAATTGTAATTTATGCATCAAAGCTTATGCAACTCAGACAATGCACCAGGGACATGCAGTGTTATTTGGCCAATAGGATCTGGATGATTGAGAGCTAAGCCCAGCGAATAGGCGCATGGAATAAACAACCTTGTGGATCTTCTCACAGACGGCATGTGGATTGCTGGTTTGATAGAGTATGGTCCAGTGGGCAGGATCAGAATTGGGACAGGGCTGAGTGATACTCCAGGAATTCTTTGGAAGAACAGTTGTGTGCAGAACAGTTGCAGGATTGGCCTGTAGCCTGTGATCCAAGCACACCTTTCATACTCTTTCAGGGCAGCATTTGTAGCTGATCTAATATGTATGCTTCTTTCTTCAGTTAATCAGTGCCTGCTGAAATGGTATAACCTAATCCAAACAGAACTTCCTGTCACAAGTGGCTGCTTAGGTGATCAGGCAGCCAAAGCCTGCTGGTTGAACACTTTTCTCCTGTTTCCAGCAATACTTCAATTTTGTGGCCTAACACTTTCAAACCACCACATAATGCAAATGCAAATTTTAGAATTAATGACAACTTGGATGTTTTTGAGACAGGAACGTGTTTTGTTTCAGGAACTGGGATTACCAGATTTGGAGAATTGAGCAAAATATTTGAAATATGTTTTAATTTCAAATATGCACTATGCTTATAAGATTCCAGCTTTTCAAACCAGCTTTGTGACTGCTTCATGCATTGGTTATATTTATACCCTCAAAGTGCATAGAAGTTTTAGAAAAATATCCAAAACAGACAAGACAAAGCTATTAAGGACCCTCTAGCAGGGGAAGATTTTGTTGTACTGCACTAAATAACAGAAATAGCTTGCTTTTTTGTCTCTTGTCTATTTCTAGAGGCTAATGCTTCCCAAGTTACCCACATGAACCATAATTTCTCTGTGCTTTAGTAACCTTTACCAATCCAAGTAGGATGTTGTTGCAAAGGAGATGATTAGCAGGAGCTGTCTGCTGTGCATGTCCCTTCTGTCCTAAGCAGGCATTCCTATACTGTAAGAAAAAGTAGTTGACATATGCATATATATGCAATGGTTTTGCTGTGTTTCTTTGTTCTTATGGCTTTCTGTGCTGGAATCAGAAGTAACTACTACTGCTAAAATCTATTCCTTGGGAAATGGCTTAGTTCAAGTTTCTTCAGTGTAACTCTTTTCCTCTGCTTCCCTTAGTGCCCAACAAAGAAGCAGTCAGGTTAACAAAAGTACAGTGGGAAATCAGGTAGGCACCTAACAGAGAATGGATAATGGCATGTGCAAGTTAACCCAAGCTGTTTGGTTTTCTTGGCTGCGTTTATTTGCTGTAAGTGTATCATATACCTTTTCTTCTTCAGACATATATAAAATGCATTATCATCACCTTGTTTTCTGAATTTTTCAGAGCCACCTGACTTTTATTGTTATCATCATTTATTGTTTACTATTTCTGCTACTGCTTGCACTGCTGGTTAGTGTCTCCCCTCCCATGCCATTTAGTGCATTGAATCTTTCATGTTACACATCAGTGTATTTTGTCATTAACTGCAAACTTGTGAATTTCAGAATCCAAAATGCTGGTGAGTACTTGCTTGTATGTGCTTTGTCGTAATTGTTTTACTAGTTCTTATATGTTCACAGTTTAATAGCAGTGAAGGGGCAATTCAGCAAGCAAAAGCAGATTTGCCTTTACCTCTTCTGAAAACTTTCAGTTGACTTCACAAAGATGTTAACTGTGTACCACAGGCCTTTCTCAAAGTAAACAAATAATAACTGGTTGATGGTCTCAGATTAATTGGCATTTTCACTGAGATTCATTAATGAAATTACTTGTTTCTTTTTATCACATAAGAATATGGGATTGATTCTACAAAATGCTAAGTGCTCCTGAGCTTTGCTGCTTTCTTTGCTTTTGTGTGGGCCAGGGGTACTCAGTACTTCACAGGATCAATCCTTTTTTTTTTTTTTTTTTATATATGAGGTGAAAATAATGAAAATGCTACAACTTTGAGGGTTTCTGCTCACTGTGAGGGTTTTGCAAAGTCTTAAATAGAGAGAAAATGTTATGGAGTTACTATGTACTTTTAAAGAAAAAAAAATTCTAGTAAAAATAGGCAATGAAATTTTGTATAAATAATTAGCAGTATTGAACATCTTCCTCATGTTTTCATGTGCAATTTGGTCAAACAATGCTTAGGAGGTGAAAGGTTGAGGCTTTCAAATGTGACCTCTGAGTTTAGATCCCCCAGGTGATAAACCTGACATTTCAGAAAGTCTGCTGTTGTAGATGAGAATTCTAGCATTTTTTGAAAACTTGGTCATCTTTTGGGGGCTAGAAATCCAATCTATTCCTTCCACCAAGAAACTGCTAGTTATTTTTGAAATGTTAATTAAAATAATCCATTAACTTTTTGGATGTGATAGTCCCCCATAGCCTGACCAGCATGAGTGGCATATTTGATGTAATATATGGTTTGGACTAAAATGAAAAAAGTTGAAAGGTCTAAACACTGAAGTGGCTTCAAAGACTGCTCTCTTCCCTCTGAGGGGAGATATCCTTCTTATCTAGCTATGCTGGAACATGTGTCAAGCACAACAACTGTCATCACTTTGGAGTGGCCCATAAAAGGAAAATCGACCAATTATCTCACTCTTCAAAATACACAAATAAAATGAATGATTTTTTAATTAAGTGAATGTTTTGTCTCTAAAGAAGTGGAGAAAAAGCTTGGTGTTTTAAATTAAATGTTGAAACTTGATTACTTTTGGTATAAAGGACTTTGCTGAACCTTTTATTTTAAAGATAATAAACAGATGTTTGTAAGTTAATTGTTTGGAGTTGAAAAGAATGAGAAAATGTTTCCAAAATAAAACTTCATTTTTGCAATTTGCTATTTCAGGGAACCAATCTACCGCCTTCAAGGCAAATTGTACGAGCTAAGTTCTGTAAGCTTTATTGTTGCTTTTTCATTTAGCTTCTCAGAGGGCAAAGTTTGTCTCTAACTCCTTGGTTTGTTAAATACTTGCTACTAAACTATTTAATGTTAAAAGTGTCTTGTCTGTAACACTTCCTCAACAAAGTATAATTGCAGTTCATCACTTAACTGCCACTAACCTGCTGTTACAAGTATGAACTAGTGTGACTTAAAATGTTGTAGAAAACTTTGATTTAATATTTTTATAATTTACTGAGTTTCTCAAACTAAAATGACTAACTGGTGTTTATTTTATTATATAACTGGAAAGCAGTTTTTATCTGATGTAAGTGCCTCTATTCATAGTAAACCCCTTTGAAAGGTGAGCAAATAAGTTTCTTGTAACCAAAAGGAAACATTAGCTCTTACGTAAATAAACATGCTGTTTATGGGTACAGGTACTGTTCTTGGTATTTTGTTTATGTAAGTACATGAGTTACTTTTGATAGAAAAAGTGAATTTTATTAATAAACTTTAAAATATTTAAAGCCTTTTTAGCATTCTTTTCATAGCACCAGGAGCATCAATATATCATGGACAGATTCCTTTCTAACCCTTCCACCTCATGAGTAAATAAATATGTGAATGCTTTTAATATTACTAATTAGAATTAATTGTCTAAACGGTAGTTAATTTTATAACAAGTTATTCTTGGTTCACTGATGGTTAGGTGTAAGAAGTAAATATCTATTGTGTGCATTCTTTGCTAATATCTATGATGAAAACATAGACGTTTTTCCAGTTTGTTGCCACATTATCAAATTACATTAGTTATTATTTCAAATAAACTGAAACTAATGTTCAATAAAGGAAAAAGGACTAGGCAGCATTGATTCTAACAGCAGCTGAATTGAATCTCTTGGGAGATCAAGATCATTTTCCCAAAATAGCGGGATGCTTATTTGCAATCCATTGCTTTTCTGTTTTGTAGCTTGCTTTGAACTGGAAAGATGCAGATAACTATTTCTGTGTATCTCAGAAATAAGATGAGCACAGCAATATTGCATTTTTGGAAGAAGTGTAATGCCCATTCCTCTTAACATGTTTTTTGCTGCTTTTCCCTCTACTACTAATTTATCCTCTCACGCTTAAACTTTGGCCTTTTTTGTTTGTCTTTTCTTTGCTACCGCCTGAGGTTTTGACCTGACTCCACAAAGTTTCTTTTTAAGCCACAGGTTAGTCTGTCTTCTAATTTGCTTGAAATAATCAGTGTAATGCTTGGTTTTACACAGCACACTAGCAAGATCTGGTTCCTGAAAGCTCACCCACTCTTAACTCTGTATTTTGTGTGTTGAGATTTGTTATGTTGACTAAAATTTAGTGTTTAAAGCTTCCCTTCATGATAAACCTTTGAAGACGAAGGTGTCTTTGCTCCATGTGCCCAATTGATACTCTGTGTGTCATAATGCAAGATACTAAAATTATGGAGTGTATATATAATAAGTTAATTATATAAGTATATGTAATTTATACAAAATTCTTTTTTGTGTTTTACTTCTGTGGCAAAATCTGGTGCTGTGCTTGAAGTAGCCCCTGTAATTAGAGAAGGGGCTTAATCTGAATTATGAGTTTCAAGTCGCTGTCCAAGTGGTTTGGAAGTTTGAGTTTGAAAGTGTTGTTTGACCTGTCCCTTTTATAACCTTACACCAGCAACCTGATTCACTTGTTCTGGACATGAGTAGCATTCAGACCCCATCAGTTGCTAATTAACTTTTTCCCTAGTAACCTCTTTTTTTCTTTTTAATCCTGCTTTGTAGCATATTTTTCTGCTGCTTTTCTTCAGATGTACTTAAATCCTGTTACCTTGCATGACCCAGGAAAAAAAATGTGTTTACAGAATTTTTTTAAGGAAGTAGATGGAAATGAAAACTTGTGCCAGGGTCAGTGAGGTGGTCATGAAACATCATGGCAAGGCTGTTCTGTTAAGAAATCCCACTGTTTCTGTAAAAGAGGTGGTGCCCATGGACAACCACAAGATGCTAAATTTTGAAATATCCTTGAATGAGACATGCTGCTGTTGAATTTTTACCTTATCAAGACCAGAGATGTATTGGTGTTCTAAATGGCCTTTAACTATACTTATTTTCTAGGTTAAGATTTCTTTATGATTAACTTAATCACTTGAATCTTTGTTTAACTACATTTGGAAGTATGTTTCAGTTTTTTCACTACGAAGTCTTTTGCTTCAGTAAAGATTAATTTTTTTCTTTAAAGTAGATGTGTTTAGGACTTAAGCCACTGTTGTTATTTTTAAGTTATGAAATATATTGTGCAGTGATTTTTGGGAAAGCAAGGTCCCAAGATCTTGGTTGTATCTTCAGTATCAGAACAGATACGATCAGTTTATGCTCTGACATTTTGCAAATTACAGTGAAATAGTGTATTAGGTTTCCCCTCTAACCTGTTGCTCCTTTTTAGCCTCTGTAGAGCGAGATCTTCATATTTGAACCCAAAGAACCAATAGCTTGTAAGGATACCTCAGAGTAGTTTTTGCCATTTTTATTCTCTCAGTGTGCTTACTATTTGGTAACACAGTATGAGAGTGATAATAAGATACAGTAGTTTTAGGAGTTGCATGTTCAGAATTATTTCAATTGAGTTACATAACACAACTTTAATAGAGTTATGTTAACTCCACAAATGCTGCTGCTTGTATTGTTGTGGAAGTAGCCAGCCTCATGATTTTCACACTTATATTTCTGTCCGCCAAGTCAAGTTCACTTATCTTGAAATCATCTTTCAAATACTTATTTTAAAGAAATTGTACACTTTCTGATTTTCAAATGTATTTTTTCTACAAATACCTTATTTGATTTAATGGAATGAATAAGTCATGCAGCAATACATAAAATGTACCTATTGTGTCAAATCCTGCTTTCCTGTTTATCCATTAAGTGATGGAGAGTAAGAACAACAGAAATGGTTTGGGTTTTGTGCAGCTGAACTATCAGAAAATTACTTCCTTCTGGCTTGTTCATGTGCATTCGAACCGTCTAAGTTTCATTTTTCAGACACCCAGATTAGGTATCAGGACCCTGAAGGAAGGAACTGTGTCATCTCTTGTTCATCCTGTACATGGAGTCTAACTACCGGTCAGAATATTGTCTTCACTAGCTTCTGGCAATGCCCATATTTTTCACCTTCCTGAAGCTCATAACTCATGTCACTAATATCCGGTTCGCACGGAGTGACATTTAGAAATATGATAGAAAATATTGAAATGGATCTATTTAACCAACCAGAAAATGTACTAGTGAAAACAAGAATGAAGCACACTAATTTTTCAAGCTGAAGTATGAAAAAACGTGGCTAATGCAATACTTTAAAAAACACGCGCCCCCATCAGAGTTTCTTCAACTTCAAAAGTCTCTTTGAAAATCTTTGCCACTTACTGCCCATCGAAGTATGCTTATTTCTAAAGTACAGCTTGAGTTATTTTTTGAGAAATTGGCTGGAGTCTGAAGTGTAATTCAGCTTCCTTGGAAAGTAAAACTATGTTGCTTAATCTCACATTGTATTGCACTTACATGTTGATCTGAGATCTCCCTCCCCTCTGAGCCCAATGCTGGTACAATTTTGAAAGTGTAGCTTTTTGTAGTTACCAAATGTGCCTGAAAAAAAGGAGGAAAAAAAAAAAAAAGAACATGAGGCTTAGCACACTAAGCTCATCTTCTCTCTCTTGATGTCCCCTGGAACTGCTTCCAAGTATTTTGGGTAATTATGATCTGGTTTAGTGTCCAGCATATTTTAGGGAACACAGTACTCTGTTTTCCCAGAGAGGTATAGATAAACAGGTCTAGAAGTTTGTACGTGAAAAACACGTACCCAAGTTACTGCTACAGCCTGGTGGTGCCCTGCTCTTCATGCCATGTGTGGAAATAACAGCTGCATCTAGTCCTCAGCACACAGGATTTTTGAGGAAACAACTGGCAAGTGTTTGTATTAACAAGTCAGCTTGTTTCTGTCCACAGCCAGTGATGGTTATGCATCTATGGGGAGATGTGTTGGACTGGAGCAAGACAGTCTTCTGGAGCTATGTAATTAATGTAGTTCCTACACTAGGAGTATTAAAAGCTTCATTTCTTATTAAATGGCTTGTATAGTTTAGATCTTAAAATTTTGGCTTGGTCTATTCTGAGACCTCTACCACAAATGTGTTCTTGACAGATTGAGAAATTTGACTAAGAACATGCTACAATCTGTGGTAATGAAGGAAAACACTGAATGGAATAAGCAGAGAGTGCTCCTTACCTTCCCTTTTAAGTGTTCATCACCTGTAAGGTTCTTGAACATGCTACTTGGGTGTTTCTTACTGGTTTGTTTCTAGAAAGCACCTCTTTATACCCACTGTGACATCTGCCTTCAAATCTTTTACCCTAAGATATGTCCAAACCAGTTTTCAGTAGCGTGCTGGCCCAGCTTCCTGTGCTTCCTTATGTGGATATCTGCTTTATAGGGAGCATCACAGTATTTTTGATTGCAGACAGCATGGTTCAACAGCATCCTCTTATTTCAGTTTCTTTATAGCATAGGAATAACTACCTTTGCACATTTGCTGTGAAGCGTTTACTCTGCTTTACAAATATAGCTGACCTTGTTGTGGAGTAAAGTTCAAGTGGCTGGGAAACCTTAATTTCCTGGAATTTTCCTAAAATTCCTTTCATTTGCATTTGTGTAGTTCACTGCAGAAAAAATTTAAATTAGCTTGGTTCCAAAACTTGTTCTGTGGCAGCTGCCTGGAGGCCAAGTACACTGGCTATATGTGCATGTTGCTTGTTCCCTGTTAAAAACTTACTTCAATAAACATAAAATAAAATGAGGATTTGAGTAATCAAGTTCACCATTATGTTTCCCTTGTATTTGGGGAGCATTCCATGTCTAGTTGTACTCAGTAGTGCCCCTCCTCCACTTGTTTTGTCCTGCCCAATGAACATAAATATATTAAAAAAACAACAAAAAAAAAAAAAAAAACAAAAAAAAAAACAAAAAAAAAACCAAACAAAACTTGTGCAGAAACATTTGTTGTACAGGCTATTCCATCTAATCTGCTTGTGCTATACCATCTCTCTACAGTAGTCATGGCCAGTCCTCTCATAGTTTACTGAGTCTTCAGAACCAAATTGATGCTTTGTTAGTGATTTTCTTACAGGCTGAAAACCTGCAGACTGGTTTTGGTTCTTCAGTGGTTTTCTTCACTGGCCTGGATGGTTGTAAATGGGAAAACATGATGATCTTACTTGAAATGGAATTGATACTTTTGGATTATGTGCATTACCAATACTCTTAGCAGCTTTTCAGGTGCAACTTCTGATCTCTTTCTTTGGTTTAGTTATCAAATGTAACTTAGTTCCTTGCTCTGTGCAATACGAAAGGTGTTTTTCAGGGAGTTTATGTGAATGTGCATGCTGAATGGGAGTGAATTCTCATTCTGAAACTTTCATAGATGACAATGAATAGATGACAAAATATTGATCGATGTTTTCCTCTGGTTATCTGTTGATATTGGAGTTACTAGTCTTGTAAAGCCCTATGAGAGGAATGTTACAGTTGTGTATTTCTCTCAAAGCAAAAGGAAACTCGTGTTTGATCACACAAGTCCATGCTTGTGGGACTTGTTGAGGGAGTTCTGAAGGCTTTCTCTGAGCACTTCTATATTCCATAAACCAGTTCTCATGATGATTTTCTCTTTTTCACCACTGGAGTTGTTTCATTCCTCCTAAGTTTTCTTTTGTCCCTCTTTCTCTTTGTGTGATGTAGCCTTCTGGCCTTAATATTTATAGGTATGCTGTTCCCATCCTTTGGCTTGTACTTTATGAACTTCTGCTTTACCCATTTTTCTCCTGATTTTTTTGCTGCCTTAGGTATTTGTTTCCTCTTTTCCTCTTCTACCTTATGAGAAGAAAATAGCTTTCATATACCTCTCCTAACCACTTCCTACCTTAATTTCAAATTAACTGTAGAAGATCTGCCCACACTTTGTTACTTAATTCAACCCCTTCTGAAAATTCCAAATGCGTGCCAGAAGCCACTTGCTTTGCTAGAATCAAAGGGCTTTTTCTAGTATTCAACTTTACAAATGACCTTGACAATTAGACTAGAACAGAGTAGTCATATATAAAGTTGTATGGACTTTTACAATTTGTTATTATACAGCAAATAAATATCTTCAAGTTTACACTATTCTTAATGAACTTACACTTGCTGTAAGTACCGTACAATACAATAATATTTAGGCTTCTCCTTCTACAGCCTTTTGAATGAACTGTATTCACTTTGTTAATTTTTTTTTTTTCCTTGAATGATAAGAACCCGCAAAAACTCTTGAATATGCCAGAGACTGAAAAAATGTGCCTGTTTTTATTTAGCAATTCTTTATTTGAAAGAATGAATGCAACAGCAGGATTATGTCAAGTGTGTAATGAACTAAACTTGTGCCTGACTGCACCTCTGCACAGGTAATCCGCAAAGGCTGGCTGACCATCAACAATATTGGCATCATGAAAGGAGGATCCAAGGAATACTGGTTCGTTTTAACTGCAGAAAGCTTGTCCTGGTATAAAGATGATGAGGTAAGGAATGAAGAACTTTTTTCTGTTGGGGGGAAAAACCCAGTGTTTATTCAGTTTTCTGATAGCAGCTTAAAATATTAAATTAGCTTCTACAGACTTGAACTGAAAGAATCTCCTAAGGTTTTAACTGTGTTTTGTAAATTTTCTGCTTTTGATTCATGGGGAATGCTGACCCTCTAAGACTTCTGTTGAAATGTTGATAACATGAATATAGGGTGTTGTGTAGAGTGGTTTTGTTTGGGTTTAGGTTTACTTTTTTCCTCTCTTCCTGTGGTTTCCACACATTGGTCTAAAAAAAAAAGAAAAAAGGCCTGTTTTGGAATGGTCTGGTTATTGTCCTATGCCTGTTCGGTTTGCTCTTGCACATCTACAGTAAGTCTAGGTAAAATTACTTCTAAAAGTAACTACAGCAGTTGATTTAATGATAACAATTGTTCTCCATCCTCATATTCTGAGAGGATGAAAAGCCTGTCTGCAGAGTTCTGTGACTGGTTGGTGCAAATTTTCAAATATGACGAAAAAATGCACCTTGGTAAGAAACATCACTGCTGCTGAGTAAATCCGAGGTGAGTGATATGAGAAATGGAAAAAGCATTTCTGTGATGAACAGGACATCAAGGTTGTTTACTTTCTTTAATATGTTGTTAGGTGGCTTGTATGTTCTGTTTAATTATTTTTCCAACAATGTTGGTAATGACACGTACTATCCAAAAATCCATCAGTTTTGTTAATTTTTTAAGGTTAAAATGGAATTACTGTGTGCACTATCAGCTTGCAGTAAAGCCCTTGTGGGTTTTTTTAAGGTTTATATTGGTTTTGTTAGAAAAACTGGGCTACATTTTTTTTTAAAAAAATCCTGTTTTCAGAATTTTTTTTAAGTTAAAGGTTTTCAGCAAAACTTCAATAATTTTTAGGGTGAACCAGTTCACTGGATGAAAGAGGCACAGGTAAAGAGAGTTTTAAATGAGCTCTAAAACATCACTCAATCTTTCCATCTAAGTAATAATCAAAACAGGGACCTGATTGATGGGGTCTGTGCAGACAATTCATATTCTTTTTAAACAACCTCAGTATTTTGCTGCAGTGAATTTTCTAGAACCACTGGGTAGAGGTCCTGCAATGCATGTACATAAGCCAGAGTTTTGCCAAGTCCTGTTAATCCAGAATGTGGTACTTCTCATAGGTAGTTACTTCAGTAATAGAGTGGCTGTGGAAAACTGCACTGGTCAGTAGTGGTTTTTTCCTGATTCAGTAGCCATTTTGGGATAGACCTCAAGATTGAGGGACAAATTAGATTAATCATGAAGATTTTGCCCCTTGCCACTTTATTTAAGACTTAAAAGGATTCACATGAATTTACTATAACAGGAAAATGAGTGTGTGTCAGACAGAGGGGAGGAGCAAAGTGGTAAGTGTCAAGAGGGGAAGTTTTATTTTTAGATTACTGACATATTATTTGAAGCATTTTATTGCAATGACATAAAAATGAATTAAATGCAAAGGTGGTGTTACGAATTTTAAAATTTGAAGCTGTTGGTTTTTGTGATCTATCTTGAAACTACTAGAACTTGTCTTAAATTTGGTACCTGTAACTAAAATAAGTGATGCGGTGAGATTAGCACCCCATGCTATGTTCTATCTTAAGCACTTGGAGGTGCATCTAAGGTGTGCTGTGGCAATTTTTGAGGTAGCTTTAGTGTTGCTTTTTTGAGTCTGATCTTTGTTCAGTGTGCAGTGTAAAAAAACCTGAAGATATCTATGGAATGTCTTCTGCTATGCAACTTTAAAATAAATTGGTTTGATAGTGTGCTTGGGAGTGTCACCTGGGAATCTCAGAATGGTATGTGGAGGGAATTGGTTGCTGTCTGATTTCCATATGCATTTTTTAAACTGTGTCTTAATTATCAAGCAGTTGTGTTTTGGGAGTCATGAAAATACCAGTAGTTCATTCAGGCCAATATGGGAGATCGCTCAGGAATTTTTTAGAGTGGTAAGAAAAGATAGCAGTACAATATTCTATGCTTTACTTGTGGAAAAAATTCCCTCTTAAGTACACATTTGCTGTATAGTTTGATTATTCTGTCTTGGGAAAGTGTTCACAAGGTTATGTTGTTTTGGTTTTTTGTTTTTTTTTTTTTTTCATTTCTGGGCCTTTCTCAGTAGGACTCAAAAAAAATTAGTAAGCTCTGCTTTAGATACTTTTGGAAGGTGGTCAAAGGTACAGCTCGACCATTAGGTTAATCAAAAGACCAGTGACTTTTTTCAGAAACAGAACTACTGGCTTCTCAAAATAAAACAGCAGATATTTGATCTCCTGGCTGAATTCCAGTTTTTATAATGACATTTTGTCTCCTTAAAATGTTCTCCTCACTTTCAGCTTGGTTGGATAGTTGTCACATCCTGTTCTCAGATGATTACTGAAATGGCTGCATGTTGTTGTATTTTCACCCTGGTAAGATATGTAGTCTTCAGTGATGTGTGAAGTGATACCCATGTTTATGTGTCTGGACTGTGCCTGGCTGGCTCAGTATGGCTGTGCATGCTCTGAGGTCATAGGGAGTTCAGATCCCCCGTGCCTCCCACCTGGGCCGGTCACTTCTGCATTCCTTGCACAGTAGCAAGAGCCTCTTCATCACAGCTGCAGCAGAAGATGCAGAAAGTCAGGTCTCACCTTCATTCTGCCAGTGTTGAGCTTGTTCCCCCTGCGCCTCTACCCCTGAGTAAGGAATGTTAGAGCAGCTTGCGTACCCATGACCTCTGACAATGTACTTCACAAAGCTATAGTGCTTGCTAGGAACTCTAGGGCTACATACCCCTCTCTAGTGTAAACTGAGCCCTTTTTCTGTAGTCTACAATTTACTCTGAGTTGAAAATCACTCTCTGAATGCAAGTGGTTGCTTGCTAGTGCCGTTAGAAGGATGTAAATTATTTCCTTTATTTGTGAGCTGCAGCTTTTATAAATAAAGAATTCACTGCGGAATGCATTTTGAAGCAAGTTACTTTGGCAAAAGATTGCAGAATTTGTTGTATTATATCAGTATTACAAAAGAAACAATTGGTTTCTTGACATGGTTCTGTTGCTTCTCAATCACAACAGGATTTTATTCCTGATGAGATGGGAATCAGTGCCCAAGAATGCTTTTTAGGCTTACAAATACAGAAATATCAAGCTAATGTTTGAACAGTGTGGATAAAGCAGTTATAGTATCAGTTATGTGAATGCTAATCTGGATTATTTCTGATCCTGCATGCAGTTGCTTGTGTTTACAATATTGTTGAGTGACCAGAAACATTATTTTGTGCTTTTCCATTTGCTTAAAACCAAGCAAAAAAAAAAATACTGTGTGCCACTTTAAGGCTGTCGTAAATAAGTGCAAGGTTAGCACATTCATCGACCTCACAAATAAAGAGTTTTCATTCACAGAGTATTCGCTGTAATACTAGCTAAAGTATTATAAGGCATACCTACACACACACAAAAAGATTAAAAGCATTTTAGTTCTCAGTTGTTACTGCTTTAAGTGGTGAAAAAAGCTGTAAGCTTCTGTGCTAAGGTTCATTTGAGAGTCAACCTGCAAATTTGAAGTTTGTGAATTAGCCACTTCTACGTTAGGATAAAATGGACTTTGGGAATGTGGAACACTATTCTAGCTTGTGAATCAAAAAGGTCTTTGTTGTAAACGGAGGGATGCTGTTTGTAAAGTGGTGTAGCATTTTTACAAGGCATGGTCAAAGAATGTGATCTCATTCTTTCTAAAGCATCCAGAGATTTCACTGGCATTATTGGTGTGCAAAGGCTGTCAAGCTGGGCTCTAGAAGAACTTCTAAAAATGTGAAATTTACATTTGTTAGAAAAATTCCCTTTAGTCTTATTTCCAGATAAAATATTTCCATTTTGTTTCAATAAGAAAAGATTATATTATCAACATCTAGTAATAGATGCAATTTGTATTATAATTTCACAGTTCATTCCCAATTGTAAAATCCTGTGCGATTTGGGAAGGAGATATGAAAGTAAGTGAGAAGGTGAGAGAGTGGAAAGGGGTGAAGTTACTCTAAGGTCTGATATTGTGTCTCTAGAATTAACTTGCCACAAAGCAAGCTGCTCTCGGCTTCTGTGGCTGGCAGGAATGTTAGTGATTTTTATACCAACGATAACATAATAATGTGAGTTGCTTGAGCTACGCCTGAGAAGTAAATGGGAGGATGAAACATACAATGGTGCTGCAAAGCTGCGTATAAACAAAATTTACTGTTAGTGAGTTAATGAGAACAACTAGGAAAAGAGTACTATAGGAAGCACAGTAAAAATTTCAGCAGTGGGTTTTATTGTATTTTATAGGCAGTGTTGGTTTGACTCTAGGTGGGTTGCAGTACGCGGCTTAGTTACTGACCGGCCGTCTGAGATCCAGAGTGACTCTTGGCTGGAGCTGTTGGTGAAGATGCTCTGGTGTGTCAGAGCGGTTTCCCACTGGCGACTGTCCCTCAGGCTGGGTTGTCATGCGACTGCCTGTCTGTGCCTGCTGTACAGGTGAGAGGATGTTCTGCACAGCAAGTGTAGACAGGCAGACACATGACAACTCCGTCCAGCCAGTCCCTTGGAGCCATCACCGCTGGTGTGCAACAGTTTGTACCATTCCGGTTTGGGGGACTTTGGGGGGAACACACATAACAGAATTAAACTTTAAAACATTGGGAGCTGTAGAACAAGAACAGAAATTGATTTTATTCAGAAAAGAAGCATTTTGGTACATCAGTTAGTATCATTGTGCTGACATGTATCAGAGATACGATTTCAACAGACTGGTCACACTGCACATTTGGAAAACCAAAAAGGATTGAAGTCATAGTTTATTTTATATGCAATTCGCACAGGATTTTGCCTGCATATTGTACTTGCACATAGTAATTTAACCAGATGTTTTTACTCTTCTTGGAAGCACAGAAATACTGCAGTTCAAGATAAAGGATATGTTTATACAGTACATAGTTTCTAGGAG